CGGGAGGTGTAAGTACCCGGCCCCACAAGCAGGTAGACAAGAAAATCTCTAGCACACAGCAGGTTACGCATGTTATAGAACACTGCACACACGCGCACACACACACACACACACACGCGCGCACACACACACACACACACATACACACACACACACACACACACACACACACACACACACACACACACACACACACACACACACACACACACACACACACACACACACACACACACACACACACACACACGCACAGACACGCACGAACACACACACACACACATACACACACAACATCCGTATGTTCTCGTCTGGGTGGTTGTGAAGCTGGCGAGTGGCGTGTCTCACAGTTCCCACCACATGCATGCGGTATTCCGTTCGCGTGAACAGAGCAAGGCGTGCGGAGACGGGCGCTCCTGTCTGAAAGTCTGCTACTGGTGTTGCAGTATGGCGCATCAAACTTGGGCGTGGAGCGCTTCGTTGTTCAGCCAGGCAGCACCGCCAAGAACAGGTTTCGAGGATGTATACGTCTTCGTGTGTTTATGTGTGCACTCACTCTCCTTCTCATCTCACGTCCTCCCCCCATGCGTGCACGCCCATGCCCAACCAGCCCACCCAACCCACCAACCAACTGACCAACTCCACCACCAACCCCCTCCCACATCGCCACAGGCTGCTGTTTGCGGTGCGGGACGAGAACATGCCTGTCACCGGAGAGACGATGGCAGCGCCGCCGCAGCGCAAGATGGCGCGCCGCCCGTCGGTGGCCGTCAAAGTGAGCGAGGGCTGGCGGCAGGTCAAGGACTCCGTTTCCAGCGCAATTCGCCCAAAGCAGAAGGTGGGGGAGTGCGTTGGTAGCGTGTGGAGGGTGTGCGTTCTGTGTGGAGGGTGTGGCGTGTGAGGAAGATTGCTTTCTCTCCCCTCCGTCACCCACTCCGCACAACGCTGCAGCCTTGGAAGCCCCCATCATATTCTGTTGGTGCAACACGCGGCATTTCTCCTCCCTCACCACCACCACCACCACCACTGCATGTGCTTGTTGCCACCGCCAGACGGACATCATCCAGCGATTGACGCGTCATCTTGAGCGCCGTGATCCAGGCTACCACTGGCCGAATGAACTCGACTTTGAGATCACAGGTCCACTGATGGTGGTGGTGTTGATGGTGGTGGTGGTGGTGGTGGTGTTGCTCATGGGGGGGGGGCGTGTGGTGACGAGTTACATGCACACACAAACAGACACACACATACGCACACACACACACATACGCACACACATCCACACCAACACATATGTTGACACATGTACGTCTGTTCTCGTGATGTGCACTTTTTCCTTCAGATGCGAATCGGTTGGAGCTATCCATGAATGAATTTGCGCGCAAAACCCTGGAGAAGTTTACAAATCACGCAAACTTCATTCGATACAGGCACGTAGTTGTTATGTGTCGGTGCTTTGAAGGGGTGTTGGAGGTACTGTGATGTTTGTTGTGCTGGCTAACATGCACACACGTACACACTCGTACACACACACATTCGTACACACACACATTCGTACACACACACACACACACACACACACGTACACGCACGTACACACACACACACACACACACACACACACACACACACACACACACACACACACACACACGTACGTGCACACACACACACACTTATTCATCCCCCATCTCACGTCCACGTGTATGTGGACATTACACTGTGCACAGGACCTGACACCCGATGGGTACTCCCGGGCTCCTTCAATACACGCGTGAACAGAAAAACGTTACACTCACCCCTTATTTGAAGAGCCCCCTGCAGACCCCCGGGGGCAGCTTGGGGTTG